CTGCTCCCGCTTGCCCTACCAGGGGGCGCTGCCCCTGCCCCTCTTCGTGCCGGCTGACCTGAGCGCCAAGGCCGAGCGGGGCGCCACCCCGCCCCAGCTGCGCCAGCTGATGGACTTGGAGCGGGCGCTGGCCGGGGGCGCCCTGCCCACCGGGCTGTGCCCGGACAAGAGGGGCCTGTCGGAGATCACCAAGGAGCTGCCGCCCGTCGTCCCGCCCAGCCGGCCCGACTTCGGCAAGGGCGGCTTCTCCCGCTCCCTGTCCCAGGAGGCGCAGAGGGGCTGAGGGGCCAGGCCCGCCCAGCCCAGAGGACTCTGTGTTCCTTGCTCGCGGCTCCCCCTGCATGAGAATGACCCACGCTGAGCCAGGCAACGCAGGGTTGCTCCAGAGGCCCATGCCAGTGTCGAGTTAGACTGTGAGGGACCACGGATTCGTACAGCGCCGTGCATGCTGGCGGTGCCGCAGCCAGGACACTGTCCATTTCAGACCGGTCTTCCCGGCCGAGCTGCCCCTCTGATAAAATGGTGCAGTGTGTGAGGGGAGTGTGGGATAGTGGTTAGAGCAGTTGGGCGCAGTGAGACAGGACACCTGGCTCTAGTCCCAGCTGTGGGAGAGGAGTGTGGGCTAGTGGTTAGAGCATTGGGGAGCCAGGACGCTGGGGGTTCTAGTCCCATTTGTGAGAGAGGAGTGTGGGCTAGTGGTTAGAGCATTGGGGAGCCAGGACGCTGGGGGTTCTAGTCCCATTTGTGAGAGAGGAGTGTGGGCTAGTGGTTAGAGCATTGGGGAGCCAGGACGCTGGGGGTTCTAGTCCCATTTGTGAGAGAGGAGTGTGGGCTAGTGGTTAGAGCATTGGGGAGCCAGGACGCTGGGGGTTCTAGTCCCATTTGTGAGAGAGGAGTGTGGGCTAGTGGTTAGAGCATTGGGGAGCCAGGACGCTGGGGGTTCTAGTCCCATCTGTGAGAGAGGAGTGTGGGCTAGTGGTTAGAGCATTTGGGAGCTGGGAACCAGGACTGTGGAGTTCTAGTCCCAGCTCTGGCAGGGGAGTGTGGACTAGTGGTTAATGAACGTGGCTGCAAGCCAAGAGAGCTAGGTGACATCCCTAGATCAGGGAGGCTAAGTGCAGGTGGGAGGGGAGTGCAGTCTAACAGTTAGAGCACAGAAGGGCTGGCTAGGTACCTCCCAGGCCTGCTCCCAACCTTCCACCATTTCCCTTCTGTAAAATCGGGGCCTCAATCCGGCCAGGGAGGCTGCACTTGCTGGCTTGTGGGGAGCACAAAGTGATGCTGGCTGGTGCTGCAAGACAGGAGTGGGGGAAAGGGGGCGAAAGGTTCCCTGCCGTTGTCAGGCCAGGGGTGACCCCAGGTGCTCAGGTGCCCCCTGAATTCTCTGGGCTGATGTTCTGAGGCAAGGAATTCCCTGTCAGCGTCCCCACATTTCTCGGCCTGGTCTGGGCAGTCAAAGGAGCTGTGACGGTCCCCCCCACCCATGCTTTATGAAATTGGCTTTTGAATATAAACATGCATCACTTAAAGACGCTTTGGGCAAAATGCCGCCTGTAACCCATCAATCGTAACGTTACAATCTGCTGGATCTACAGAGCCTCTTCTGGTGCACGGAGGGTTCTTGTATGTAACATTAGACTGTTTCTAGTTTTCAGTGTGGTAACGACAGCCGTCAGTGGTGCTCCGGAAGCCTTAACGAGGAGGTGATCAATGTAACGACTTGTAAACAGCCTGGTTTGTCCCTTCAGGCTAAACAGCAGGAAGACATATGACCATACCACCGTGTACTGGAATACCAGTTTGACCAGATAATTTTCCACAGCTGGGGGAGGGAGGAGAAGGGGGCGGCTGTAGCACAAAAGATTCCTCGGCCAAGAAACAGTCTGTTTAAGCAATGGGAAGTGAGCAGTTCCTTGGTTTTTGGCTGGCGTGGCAAACCCGGAAGGAGGGGTGGGGTCCTGGTTCAGGGAAAAAGAGTCGCTGACCTGAAGCTTGTGGCTAGGACAAGAACAGCTCTTTAGGTAGGAAATGGTTTGCACTAAATGTTAGGGTCTTAGAACTAGCTCTGCATTTTCTTTTCATTTAAATTTAGCAGCTTCCTTTGCTCTGTCTGTTTTCACTTGCAGTCACTTAACTCCTACTGTTTGTACTTAATAAAAACACTTTTGTTTACCAGCAAGCGCAATGTAAATACTAGTTAATGGGGGGGAGGGGGTGGACAACCAGTGCGCATCTCTCCCTTTCATTGACAAAGAGGGCTTACCTGAATGAACTTACGCTGTGTAAAACTTTTGGAGTAACTGGCTGCCTTTTGGGGCGGGGGGGGAGGAGAGCAGCACCTTCCCCCCCAACCACAGTCCAGGCCTTGTGTCAAGTGTAGGAAACAGGAGGTGAAAGTAAGAGAAGGTGCATCCGGGGAGGGGAGGGGTGATTATAGCAGGAGAAAACAGAGGCCGTCATGGATTTTGGGGGTGGAGGGGCTGCCCCCAGGTTTCTGTGTGGGGCAGGGCAGCACAGCCCAGTCGGGAAGTTCCCTTGCCCTCCGCCTGCGTCCCGGCTTCTCCCCAAGGACACTGGACAGGCAGAGCTGGGCTGGCAGAAGGTCGTGACCAGGGCATGGAAAATTCGGCCGGGACAGAACAGCTAATCCAGGGTGGGAGGCAGTGGTGGGGGCAGAGCTGCTCCCGGCAGGCCTTGGCAGGAGTTGCTGTTGTTTGGGGGCAGAGGGAGGAGCTGGACCCCCCCTGCCAC